ACCGGGGCGCTGGGGTCTCGTTTGCGGGCCATTGCTATATACTTGGTCATCGACGGTGGCATTGGAGCCCATGGACACAATAGAGAGGGACCGCTTGTGGGCGTGGCCGGAAGCCTGCGTGGGCGGAGGCGGCTGGGGAGTAGGAGGCCATTGCTGGATGCTGTTCCTGAGGCGTGAGCCCGGAGAGGGTACGTTGAGGGACAAGGTTGAGCGGTGGCTACGAGCAGACCCAGGCGGTACCAAGCCGTTGCTAGACGTTCCGCCGGCTCGAGGGCTCAGCAATGGCGAAGGCTGTCTTGTTCGATCGGATCTCGGGGAAGACAACGAGGGTTGGCGTGGGTTGGAGGTGAGCTGACTGGAATCAGGGGCGACATTCTTGAAGGTGATCTGACATCTGATGTCCTCGCCGGCAAACACGGTTTGGTCATCCCATTTTATAAAGACGCGGATGTTGGTGGAGCGTCCTTCGGGCGGCATGGTGGCACTCCTTCGGACGAAGGAGAGGGATCATGAGCGCGACCTCATTGTCGTCGATGACGGAGACTGGGGGAGTAAGGGATCGCGCTCGCAGCACGATGGCGCTCAACCAGAACACGCAGCGGACGGGAACGTGGATGTAGGCGCGGTCGTAGTCGTCGTGATAGAGGGAATGGAGGGGGTGTTGGTGATGGATGGCTTAGTCGTGGGAGAGCTCCTAGAGTGATGCAGTATTGTATGTAAGCTCGATCTAACTACTTAGTCCAAGATCGGTCGTCGTGGGTCGAAGGTCGGAGGGGAGACTCGAGCAATGAGCCGGGATAGCCGCCTCCTATTCGATGCTTGTTAAAGATGACTTCCAGTACTAAGAGGCATGTAATAGTTCATTTATCAGCTCGAGGATGCACAATTAGAACTTTTCAAATGGCAATGCGAGTGTATGTCAATTCATAAGAGACGAATGCGACTATTCACAAGGCTCAGATCGACGACGTAGTAATACTCCAAGTAGTATGGTGCTTACGAGTTCAGAGTGCAGCATAGCTCCATTCGATCATGGTTGCCCATCCGGAAACGAGTACCTGCCTGCCGAACGCTAGAGCGTAAGGTACCTTACCTGGTGCTGAAGTATTAGCTGGCATCAACCCCACATGCCAACCTTACTTAGATCTATACCTCCTCATCCTAGTCCCGTCAATTGACCATCGGGAATAACGTCGTCAACATCTTGAATTTACAACTACCTGATAGGTAGTTACTCGCTTTATCTTATTGAGCCGACAATTCGTAACGTATATCGCTTTCATATCGTCATCGTGTAGTAGAAACTGCTTCTCAAGCCTGCACGTGTATCTACCTGGATTTGATACCTGATTCTCCTCGAGAGAGCAAAGGCAAGAAGACATTTGTGAAAAGAAAAGTGTTTATGTGACAAGTAACGATAGCTAAGTATCTACATTTCCATCCTTCAAACAAAAGTAGTTTGATACACAAGACTCCTCCCCTATGCACCTTGATTATACAAAAAAGACACTCGGCTTCCCGAGTTCCCCCACCTCAAATCCATAATTGACGCTTAAAGGAAAATGTATCAAAGAGTGTAGGCCGTATGCTATCTTATATACAAACCTCGTGGCCATATGCTCGTTCCTGAGCATCGAGCCCCAATACCGTCGTCTTATTGTCCAGGATCCCCGGCCGGCTTTCGTTACGCCTGCCCAGACAATCAATCACCGTCCTACCCACCCTCATATTTCTAACATCCATGTCCCCATGCGATCGTTGCTCTCAGTCCTCGTCAATACTCACGAAGTCAGGACAACTTTGACAAAGGTAGCTTAAATCCAGTTACCGCCCATGTTCTTCTTATGTTCTTCGTGGTACGAGTCCGAGACGCCTCCGCATCCACCACAGGGGACCACGGTCCCATACGTGCATTTTCCGCATTTTCCGCAGTGCCACTCTTGCCGTTCACGGCAGGTTCCGCAGTCTCGGCAGTGCCATATCTGATGGCCCTGCTGCCAGCTTCCGAGTCGCTCGCTATTGCTGTAACAGAACGAGAAGAACCATTCCCCGTTCTTATCGCCGAGTCCGAGGCCGAGACGGATCAGTTCGCGTTGCAGCTTTTCCGTTTGCACTTCTGGATCCGGCCCAGTATAACTCGTTTCCCATTTCACCCGCCACGCGTCAATGGCCTTGTCGTTACCATCCGGTACGTAGTCTAGGCCTGTCAGAAGGTGGTCAAAGAGGTAATCAAGCGTGAGGTTTTCGTTTTGTTTATGCTTTTGCAAGTAGGTGATGAAACAAGGGTCGAGTTTAACATCAGTTCCGATAATTTTGTCGAGCGCGATGTTATTGAAGTTGTTTTGGCACGTCTCATCACAACCACAAGAGGCAATGCAGCCATAACCCTGATTACTGCAGGCACAGGTCTGGCAGAGATGAGCGTGCTCAGAGTCATCGTGCCCATTTTCGCACTGGCAGCCAGTAGAAGATGGTGCAGGACCATCTGTCTTTTTCTATTAACATTTTACGTCAGTTAAACCGTAGCTTGGCAAAGTGTATGGGGGCCTCATGTCGATTCAAAAGACGGGGGTTCTCGGCTTACCTCAGTTACCGGCGCATCCGGCCTGTACTCAGGAATTGGTGCCAACGATTGGGTATCTTCAAACTCCTCGAGATCCTCTTCAAATTCCACTCTAACTTCCGGGGTGGTCTCAGAACCAAATACCCGCCCGTCAATACTGCCACCCATGCTGCGCGCATCAACGGTGGCCAGACTTTCCTCGGGCGTGAGGGCCCATTCCTGTTCCCAGCGTAGAAACTGCGGTGTCTCGTTAGACAACCATGAGTCGTACCAACGTCCAACAGGCGGCCTCTGGCGGAATTCCTCGAAAAACTTCTGGCCCAACTCCTCTGTGAGGCGCTCCAGTGTGGTTCGCATATTGCGAATTATGCGCATCCGTTCTGCCTTGTCATGAGGGGACATGCCACTCTTCTTGGAAGCCTGCACTTGTCTCATGAACCCGCTGCTAATGTTGCCTTGAATGTCGCACACAATCGACTCAGAGACGAACTTAATCATTTGTTCGTGCGCAGCTGGGTCGTCGGCCGGAATGGCGCTCCAACTAACAGGGCGCGCCGTCGGTATCCCATTTGGATGCAAGCGCCTCTGTGAATTAACCTCCATCTTGTTCTCCAATTTGTTCTCAATTTTCTTTGGATTCTGCCACATTGTTACAGTCTTGAGTCGATGGCGATCAGTATACTGTAGTCGCAAAGAGAGTAGAAAATGTTTTAACCATGACAGCACAGCGAAAACAAGATACATACAAACAGGCAAACCACACCAATATCCACTTTTGACACCAAGACTATCAAGTTTAATAGAATTTGTATTGGCGGATTACGGACTCATATTCAGTTTATTCTATTCAAGTACCACATGTTCACTATGATTTGTCAAGATTGCTACTATGATTAGTACTAGCTGCCCCCCTGAGGCGATCCTTCGACAGGGTACGCTTCTGGAAAACAGTCAGCAAGGCAGGCTACCAAGGCCCTAGTCAGAAGTCAAAAATAACACCACGTCAACGAACGTTCGGGCCTCTATAAAGGGGCCACACGCCATCATCTTGAAAGTCACAAAACGAACCATTAGCCACGAACTAGTCTACAATTTATCAATCAGAAATGGTTACATAGGTGTTACCCGTCGTTGCGGCTCAAGCTTCACACCCTCAGCGAGAATTGTTTATTACTGGCCGGCCACTCGTTCCTGCCGTGTGGCTGACGGCAGGCGAGGCCGGGAATTACTAGAACGTGGTGCGACCCTCTTTCAGCTGATGGAACTCTGCTGGAGGAGCTGGCAAGATGGCTTTTCAAATTTAGAAGATAAGTACGCAGGCCACTGTTACTGTCGGCTCAGGAACCGCGGCTAAAGCTGGCTTGGCGTCAACGATCTTTCGTGTATTTGGGTATATGAGGCAATACCCTTACTATCACTTACCCTAGACTTCTATTATACTAGGTACAGTATGAGATCGGGAACTCCCGTAAGATCCGGCGGGTTCTCCTCACAAACCAAGGCTTGTTTTGCATTAGTCAGATAGCATAGTGGGCACTCTAATCTGTCTGTAACGCATGCCTTGGCTGCCTCATGTCTGCACTGTACGTATGGCGCAATAAGCTGCTGGGCACGCTAAGAATTCAGCCCAGGGAGCCTTAAGAGCCTCCTCAAAAGCTATGCAAGTCCTTAGATCTATCTATTTCTATTGCCCCTATCGATATACTGTCCTCTATTCATTGATAGCTTTAAACAAGGACAGGCTGATAACAACACTACAAGTTTCGTCTGGCACAGAATTTTCTGCAGGAAATGGGCCTATCATCTCACCAACCTATCTGAGTAGAAATCCATCGACCGCCATGTGGCCACAGATCTTCCATTTCCAAACCATGCTTTCGCTTCGCGTGGTGAATACACTAACGAATCCTACTTATCCACAGCTGGTAACGAGCCTGCGGTACCGAGTATAAGTCTCTGGGCTGGACAAGGTATCTGATAGATCTAACCAGGCTTTTAGGGTCTCGAATGGTCGCTTAGCCATGAAGACCTTTCATATATGGACGACTTTTGTTATCTTATTCCTTGCTATAATTTCACCAGCGGTAACGAAATGGGTCACAATCTGCTTCGCGAGCCTCAAGACGTAGGGTTCCCATGCAATTCAATTAAACCAGACGTTACTATTTAGTCTATAAAATTAAACCAGCCCAAGAATCGAATAGTATAATGAGGCAAGCAAGCATGTTCATGTATGTTTCGTTTGCCAGAAAAGAGCTATAACTACTGTAGTATGTATACAAATCGTATCCGGTTTCGCAACGCTAGTGTCTGTCACTACCCGTTCCCACGCAAAATTTCTTAAACGAAATTGCCCCATTCTTTCGTCGTCTGAAATCCAATCCCACGTGCCATCCCGACTGAATCATAACCATCCCTTCGGGCCCGTCAAATCAGCGCCCGGTTAGCTCAATCGGTAGAGCGTGAGACTCTTAATCTCAAGGTTGCGGGTGAGTTACCATGTTCATTTCAAGATTCTACTGAAATACTGACAACCTTGCCAGGTTCGACCCCCGCATCGGGCTCAATTCCTGATGCCTCCCAGTTCAACTGAGAGCAGCAACCCAATTTTTTCTCCTTCTTTTTAGCTGTTCGTTCCTTTTCTGTTACTTCTTTGTGATTTGGTCTCGGCGGGTGATTGGCTTGCACGTAATGCTAAGCTTGTGCGTCGGTTAGCACGCAAGCGTGGCTTATAGCATCACGTTGACCTCTGGAGAGAAAACACCAAATTACCAGTTGATTGCTTTCCCTCCCTATAAGGTCGTTAATGCGAATCCATCATCAATAGGCCAAGCAGAAGGCGAGGTGTCTGCCTAGTCGATGGGGTCAGATGCGCATGCCTTCTACGAGTCAAACGTTTAACAGACTCCATGGGCTTATATCTTCCCTTCAGGACTACACATTCACATGAAGATTGAAGTTGCATTCCTTTTCCTAAACAAACTACATGTTTGTTTGAGAATCTCGTAGAGCGGCATGGTTACAAAGAATGCGTTTGAGCGTAGTCTTCCGGATCTCTCGATATTTGCTTATGTCCAGGTAGCTTCACTTAAATTGCTATCACCATGTATCGATGCTACGTAGTGCCACAGTCAAATCATATAAGACAGCTTGGTGATCTCGAGATATGCATGTTTTGCACCTAATGAGCGGCTATTCTAATGAGTTATTGATGAATGAAGAGAATAATCTGAAAATGAAATCAACCATTCTTGAATGCAGCCATGTCAATAATAGGCCATCGGAGCCGAGTAATAACTGTCAGTTGCTATCATCCCGAGCAATTGCTACCCAATTGCGTTTTAAATTCATAGATATTTACTTGGTTTCTCAAAATAAGAATTCCAACCCGTAATTAATCAAAGAAGGCTGGCTCTCCTAAGATATCCTACCGAGAATAGCGTATACTGATCGTGTCACGCTGGATACTCACGATGGTGATATACCAGGCCCTCTCGCTTCTTCTTATATGTCTTATGGATTTTCTTGAGCTGAAGTCGGGAAGAGATACTAAGCCAAAGAGAGTTCTGAAGTTGGCATTCTAGAGTCTTATTGGCGTCTAACTTCCGGATTTTCCTGCCTCATTATAACGCAGCTGTCTGGTTCCCCCTCTTCTTCGGCCAACAACTTTTCAACTCATGTGGTGTTTTCCAGGGAATAGTATTAACATCGCATACTGGGTTGATTATTCAAAACTGTGGACATAATCAATCTCTTATTGCAATGGACACATAATCCACCTAATACTCAGCTCCTACATGGGCGCTTGCTTATGGTCTGTTGCAGCCTCGAACTCAAAAGTGGCATCTAAATCTTCTTTCCCTCTGCGTAAAAATCTGCCCTGCTGCATCCTCACACCTTGGAAAGCCTTTCCCACCTCCTACTCAATATATCTTTGCTAACCTCGAGGCATCAAGGTGCACACCTGCATGATCTGCATTCTCAATTCTGAGATACAACCGCTCTTGCCAGACTGCTGGACTGCCAGGCTACAGCTACTCAACTCACAACTATAAGTTACTGCTACCATCCTCGTTAGAAGCTACCTCAAAATTCACATGCATCGGTAGTAACTGGTATTTACCGAACACGCCTAAATCCTAGGCTCACACATCATTGTTTCGAAGTTGAGATCTGGCAATGGCGATTATTCGAGGGTTGCCAGGCTTAGAGGTCACCATCTTCACCGGTGGCCGCACTACGAAGGAATACAATGCTCCATCAGAAACCGGCGCAGCCCATAAGTGCCAACGAGTAGTCACGAAATACATCGAATGCAAAGACAATGAGCCCTTCAGGATCCGCCTCAAGGCAACCGATGAGTACCCGTGGGGCTTCAAAGACCACATTCTCAACTTCGGGGCAGTAATCGACGACGTTTGGGCAAAAGGTGAGCTATGTAGACAGGAATATACCAAGGAAGAAGATTGGGAGCGGGAAATCAGCTACCGTATAGTGAAGAATCCTAATGACTATGCGCGTTACATCCTTCAAGAATTCGCCTTCTCAAGCATCATCAAAAGTAAGTACCTATCATTTATGCGCATAAACAATACTAACGATCACAGCCGATAACGCCACAGATGAGCAGCATGAGTCCGACATGGACACCATAGAGCGGCTCGGCACAATCGAGGTGAAGGTGCATCGCGCTACAGTACAAGACAGTGGTTCATTCTTTGTGCTTGGCGGTAATCATCCCAAAGACTTCAATTTATCACGAGAAGCAGTGAAAGGAAAGGCCAAATCCCATGGAACTAAGTCAGCCAAGTTATCAATCTCTTGAGACAGCATAAATTAATTCATGGTTCAGGTTCACTCGTACGCAGCCTGCAACGAAGCCCAAGTATACTAAGTGCTTGGCCCTTAAAGAAGACGATGGGCCCATTGCTATATTTCGATTTAAATATCGATCTCGAGGTAGGACATTCCTAATCACGTTGGAAGATTCACTAGGCTTGATCTAACGACGACCATTACTTCTAGAGGCCCTGATATTGGAAGGTATCAGACCTGAGCCTCAGCAACCATTCAACTGGCTCGTGGAGATCCCGGATGACAAGAAGGACAAGGGCAAGCGAGGTAACTCTGGCAGCAACGTGAGTGGTGTACAATCAAATCGGTCTATATGGTGACTAACCCAAGCTCTCAGCTGCAAAACGCCCTCAGTAACAGCAACAAAGCCAAAACGAAGATCAAAGAGGAAAATGAGGATGACGGTATACCATCTTCTACAAGCTCTACCACTGGTCACAATAACAGCACCGGGCAAGTAGAACTACCTCAGCTAAGGCGTTCAATTCTTCCCAACATTAAACTCTCTCGTTCTGGAACCCAGAATGCGGCCAATACACACAATTTTTCTGAGCCGAAAAGCATTGGGTTGAGGCTCAAGGATCTCGATAGTGAGCTTGTGCGCAAGGAACTTAGGCGCAACATGTTGAAGAAACTGAAGCAACTTGGCCTTGCTCCACAGGATAAGTCTAGGGATAATGACAAAGATGCAGGACAAGATATAAAAGTACCCCCCGGTTTGTCTTCCTGCGACATCGCTCTACCGAGCATTGAGTGTGTTGATAATGCTGTCAAAGTCAAGATCGAATCTGAGCAAGAATCGAATTCTAAGAGCGACAAGGCTGCTGGTGCTCAGCACACAGGCAAGTCGACCGTCATCAAAAACGAAAGCCCCAGCGTGGACGTGACTCAGGTTCCTCATCATCGACTCGGCGCGTCTAATCCTACAGCCCAAAGTCTGAAGTCATTCCCTAAAACTATGGATGAGCATCGAAAGGACACCAAGCTTGACAAACCGAAGCTCGGAAAAGAGGAACTAGAACGTAAGATACAGAAGCTGCGGGAGCCAAAGGTGCATATCAAACTGTCTAATAGCCGTCGAGACGGTCCTAGCAACATCACTATGCCGACCACCTCTTTTGCCCCTCCAGCAAGCACCATCAGTGCTACTAGTCTGCTCAAGAGCATGTTACCGCCGCCACCTCCGGCATTGTCTACGAAGAATCATACTTTGGCATCGAAATACACCAAACCCACGATCTCATCACGTGTTTCCCAACCAACCCTGGGCTACGCTGTCTCAAACCAAACAAGCATGAATCTAGTTGAAACGGATGCCTTCTTGACCGCAGCTGTAAATCACCTGGATAAAGAGAAGAAGACAACGCTCAAGTCTGCGAAGCGCAAGGCCAACGAGATCGCTGACACCCTGCCTGATCGTTCGATTCATCGCCCTCGTGTACCCAAAAAGCCCAAGATTTGCGATGACTAGGAGACAACTTAATTATTCGATTTATATGAATTGCTCAAAGGAATGGTCTCTTTCGGGTAATTAAATCTCTCAACTTGGGGGGCGGTAGGTTATACCACGGTCGAGAGTGCGGACAGAATCGAAAAGAAGAAAATCAAGATAGTTGCGGAATGGGAACGGAAGAAATAACAGGAAAACAATTATAGCTGCGACGGTGTAGGATGGAACATTGCCACGAGCTTTATGGCACATAACGCACATGCGTGGTTCAGCGGAACCAGAACACCGAGGTATCGGGTTGTTTGGGTTCGGTGCCCGATTTGCTTCATTTTGTTTTGGGATCAGTACATCTCCAAGGGAAGATCACATATCGGTATTTCGTTGCGTTTATCTTTGCGATTTGCATTTACCATGGGGGATTTCAGGCGGATAATAGGAGGAGATAGTCTAAGATCGTAGCTTCTTTTATCCTACGTAGAGTAATATACAAAACTCTCAGTTGATTTCCTACACGCTTGAGTCCGTATTTATGTCACTGTGAAATACGCGATAACTTAATATCTAGGCTGGCATTGTGGACAAGAGAGTGCCTTGTGCAGCGATATCTATTCTAATGATATGCTTGGTACATGACTCTCTCTAAGCTCTTGAACTAACATATCCAAACAACTCGAAATATTCGCTATTCAAAAAGTCATTCGGCCATAACCTCATCCAAAAAACTGTCTACCCGACTAAGCAGCATATATGCTTCATCCGCAGCCTTTGTAGTGACCTCCTCGGGGTTAATCCCACCATTCACCTCCACGACCAACTGCTCGTGGACAAAGACCTTACAGAAAAGATCTTTTACTCCATCTTCGATCCGCACCTCCGTCTCATACCTGACCCTTTTATTCTCTCTTCCAACTAGCTCGCCGAGCTTATTCTTGGGATGTAAGACATTGACATTATCGGACAAGATGCGTCGCAGGTAGGGCAATATCCCTATGCGTTCCGCAATCTCCGTACATCTGTCCATAGAGCCTGAATCAACCCACACGGCGCCGAGGAGACTCTCAAACATGTCGGAGAAGAATTTGGGTATGTCTAGATGAGCGAGCTTGGTCCAGGGGTAGTCGGTGCTGTGCGCTATAGCGTCTAGGATCACCTCTCTCTCTACTCTGTGTCGCTCTTCCACGGCTTGCTGGGCGGCGATAATGTGGGTGGATCTTTGCCTCATGTACTTCCAGAAGGGCACCGGCTCCTGAGTCACGATAG